GAGTCCATGCAACATCCCAAATATGGGGAAAACCCTAACCAACTCTTCGATTCGCCTTGCTAACTCACCGAGTTCATGCACAATCCAAAAAAAGTAATCCATAACCAATTCGTCGAGTTCCTTCAGTCATTTCACATTCAGCTCATTCCAGTCAAGTTCATAGCTCCAAACTCCAGATCTGGCTTTCTAGGGTGAACTTACCATGTAAAGTTGCCAACTTTACGTGCATGTAAGGTCTCAAAAGGCTTAAAACACCAAAACTAAGTCTAAGAAGAAGCTTACGGCATGAAGAAGGGCCAAAGCTTCATAAAGCTTGAGGTTTTATATCAAATAGGGCCTAGAGGAGTCTAGATCTGAAGCCATGTCCTTTCGACAAGCTCAAACCCAAGAATAATCCCCATTTTGCACCAAAATGCCTGTATAAGAAGATATTTAAGGAATGAAAAGTCAAGGTATTAGCTTTATACCTCAGTTTGGTTGCCAACACCAAGTAGATAATGGATCTACAGCCTTCTTCTTGATCCAAGCTCCACAACCTTCAAGCTTCTTCAAGAAATGCACCAAAAACACACTATTAGCGTCACACACACACTTAAAATATAGATTTGTTTTCTTAGGGTTTGCTCTCTGGAAATGAAAGTGGAAAGGGTGGATGGGGGAAGGACTTAAGGTACTTTAAATAAGGTGTAAACCCTAAAAATTAGGGTTTCCATGCAAAGTCTCGACTCATCGAGTTGGTTCCTCCAACTTGTCGAGTAGATTCTAGAATCCACACCACTTTATCAATTTCTACACGACGAGTTGGGGCAACAAACTCGTCGAGCAGGTCCAAAATTTTGAATATGAAAGCATTAAATAAATACTTGGGAGTCAGGATGCTATAATTCACCCGCCACTTGAACTAGACTTTGTCCTCGAAGTCCGCTGCAACAAACCAATCTGAGTATTGCTCCCGTATCTCAGCCTTCGGCTCCTAAGTCCACTCAGATCCCCACCTGTGCTCCCACTGTACCTTTACCACATGTACCTCCTTGTTTCGTAGAACGTTCACTTTCGTATCTAGAATTGCCACATGCCTCTCCACGTAATTCAGGCCCTCATCGACCTGAATATCGTCTAATGACACTACCGCCCCTCATCAAGTATGCACTTTCTTAACTGGGAGAAGTGAAAAGTGATGTCAATTTGACTGAGCTCCTCCGGGAGATCCAGTCTATATGCCACTTTGCCAACCCTGTAAATAACCCGAAAGGGACCAATGTATCGGGGACCCAACTTTCCCCTCTTCCTAAAGCAAATCACACCCTTCCAGGGTGAGACCTTCAGCAATACCATGTCGTGAACGTGGAACTCCAACTCGGATCGGCGTCGGTCGGCATTCCTCTTCTGCTGACTCTGAGCAGTCTGCAACCGCTGCCTGACCAGCTGAATCTTTTTGGTAGTTTGCAGAACTACCTCGGTCTGACCCATCACCCTGTGGCTAACCTCACCCCAACAGACCATGGTACGACATCTCCCCCCGTACAACAACTCGAAATGTGGAGCACCAATATTGGAATGATAGTTGTTGTAGGAGAACTCCACGAGGGGTAGGTGGGAATCCCAGCTCCCACAAAAGTCAATGACACAGACCCTCAACATGTCTTCGAGGGTCTGTATGGTCCGCTCACTCTCATCCGTCTGTGGATGATAAGATGTCCTAAAATGCAGCCGCGCGCCCATCTCTTCGTGGAACTTATACCAGAATCAGGAGGTGAACCTAACATCACGGTTGCAAAACAATAGAGACCGGAACTCCATGACGAGCAACAATTTCACAGACATACACATCGGTCAGCTTCTCTGTGACATCCCCATATTTTCTGGCCAGAAAAGACCGATTTAGTTTATTCTTTTAAAATAAAATAAGAGTAATCTTACAAAAGTTGTTGCGGAATTTGTTCCCCAAACAAAATATAATAAAATTTATCAAAGCATTTCTTAAAGAAATATATTTTCATTATATAACAAAAACCACGGGATGTCAGGTTCCGATACAGACCAAAAGCATAAAAAGTAAATTATAATTCTTACAACAGTTATTTACAACTACTGGCTTATAATCCAAAAATCCCTCTTCAACCTCCAAACTATGCTCTAGATCCACTACCTATAATAAATAAAATAAAATAAAAAAAACTGAGTGGGTCAGACTTGGGAGCCTGGTGAGCATATAGGGTTTTCAATCCACGAATAATAAATAATAAATATACACATAGCATGTATTTTATAGAAAATACTTCATATCTATGTGTAAGATGAAAGTGACTACACATTCACTTGATTTAATGATAATCGGGCAGCACCTCGTTTCTTAAAACGATTGTTCCTGATAAAACGTGATGTTTTCTAAAAAACCGGACTTCACATAGGCAGAGTTTCGGCTCGAAAACTATTTTTCTCTAGATCTCCGGGCTCTCCGGGGCTTGCTTACGATGCTAGGATCATTTAATGGTCTGGGGGGGGGGGTAATTGTTTCAATATTGAAGAAAGTATAGGGGTGAGAGGATGAAAGTTGTAACCTAAAATCGGATGCCATCGATCACTATTTATAGGGGTTGAAAACTCGAGTTACGATGGGTGTAAGTGTAGAATACGATGGACGTACTCCTTCTTTAACCAGTACGGTGGACGTTCATCAAGTACGTTAGGCATACGAAGGTATCATCCTGGTCACGTCAAGGCTACGACAAATGTCCATCATGCAAAAGAGTAGGGCTACATGTCCAATCTTGGACCATGAACACGAGTACGTTGGGCGTACTCCGAATTTTCAAATTTAAAAAATTAATAACTTTCACATATGAGCTCTATTTTTGACATTCTTTACATCCACGCGTAGGTGAGACCGTGCTCTACAACTTTCATTTTAACTCTATCAGCTAACTTTGACTTTATTTTTAAAGTTATATTTTTAATAGACCGGGACTGAAAAAGTCTGTTAAAAATTCATAACTTCTTCATCCGACGTCCGGTTTTGTCTAACGTTTTACTGTTGAACTACTATTAACAAAATCTTCGATTCTCGTTTAGGTTGTTTTAGCTAAAATTCACTCGATCTAAAATTCGAGTTTTGGGCTGCATTCTGCTATGTCAAATCTTAGAAAATTCATAACTTTCTCATACGAAGTCAGATTTGGACTTTCTTTTTGTGAACGCTCTCGGTTTAATGAACACCACGACTTTCATTTAGATCGCTAAGCCTAAAAAGCACTTTATCATAAATTTACTTTTTACGTCACACAGCGTGGTGCCGGTTCTGTCGCGAAACTTCGACAGGTCATAAATTTTTCGTTATAAGTCGGATTTCGGTATTATTTATATCTACGACATCCTTGTTTCAACCGCTACAACTTTCTTCATAGATATCGGGTTTATCTAACGTTTATTTTCGACGCTTATTTTTATTCTTAACTTATTAAATCATAATAATTAAGCAATAAACACATAATAATCAAATAATACATCCTTATTATTTCGAAACAAATTACAAAGGTTGACATAGACTATTACATCATCATTAATTCTTAACCTAGAAACAGGGGTGTTTCAATCCCCCCCCCCCCCCTTATGATGATTTCGTCCCCGGAATCATACATCAGCAAACAAATGTGGGTAGCGACTCATAATGTCACTCTCCATTTCCCATGTAAGATTTGACCCATTCGCATGTTTCTATCGTACAAGCACTAAATCGACCATCTTACATCACAACTTCTTAGTCGTATGGTCAACGATTGCCTCTGGTTCTTCGATTAACCTCTTGCTTTCATCCAACCCTAATTCAGAAATTGGAATTATATCGGGAACTTCTCCCGTGAACTTTCTCAAATAACACACGTGGAAAGTGTTATGAATACCATCTAGTTCTTCTGGTAGTTCTAGCTTGTAAGCTTGATTCTCAATCTTCTGAAGAACTTTAAATGGTCCAATAAACCTTGGACTCAACTTTCCCCTTTTACCAAATCTTATAAGTCCCTTCCACGGTGAGAATTTAAGTAAAACTGAATCTCCAACTTCGAATGATATCGGTTGTCTTTTCTTGTCAGCATAACTCTTTTGACGATCCTGAGCTGCTAAAATCATTTCCCTAATTACTTTCAGTTTTTCAGCAGTCTGATGGACTATCTCAGGTCGCATAAACTACTTTTCTCCAGCTTCAAGCCAGCATGATGGCGTTCGACACTTTTGTCCATACAAAGCTTGATAAGATACCATCTTAATTCTTGAGTGGAAACTATTATTATAGGAAAATTATAACGAAGGTAAATGTTCATCCAAATTACCTTGGAATTCTATGGTACATGCTCTCAACACATCCTCCAATGTTTGAATTGTTCGTTCGCTCTGACCATCGGTTTGTGGATGGTAAGCTGTACTTAGACACAATTTCGTACCCAATTCCTCTTGTAGACTTCTCCAAAACCTCGACGTAAAACGACTATCATGATCTGATACAATCATTAGAGGATCACCATGAAGTCTCACTGTCTCCTTCACGTAAGCATTTGCAAGCTTATCCATAGACTATTTTTCATTGGCTCCTATGAAGTGTGCACTTTTAGTAAACCGATCAATGACCACCCAAATCATATCGTGACCGCGTTTCGTTATGGGCAGTTTAGTCACAAAATACATGGTGATGTCTTCCTATTTACCCATGGGTACTAGGAATTGCAACGGGGCGGGTTCGGGGCGGGGCATGGTTTCCCAAACCCGAACCCGATATCTACATATGTGCCCGAACCCGACCCGATACCCGACGGGTTTCTTATCGGGGCGCCCCGTCGGGGCTAAAACTCTCCCCGAACCCGACCCTAAACCCGAAACTCGATAATTACCCGAAAACCCGACCCTAAAACCCGAAATATGGCAGAAAAAAAAAGAAGGAAAAACTATAAATACAGAATGATAAATTAAGACGATGCATAAACTTAAAATACCAAATAAGTTCTTAAATCATTTAACCAAATAGAAATTACTAATAGTCTAATATTGTAACATCAACCAATCAACCAAAACACCCAAGTACACAACATTAAAAACTAATTTATCACAATAATACATTACCACTTAACATTAAAACAAAGTTACAAACTCAAAATCAAACAAAATCATCCAAACTTGTTGTCCCGCTTTCTTTAGTGTTTTCCTACAAAATATTAAACAAACTCAAAATCAAACCAAATCATGGAAACTATATAAAATTAATATTTTTAGGAGTTTCGTTTGACCTCTTCCACATCATAATCAAATTCAACAGAACGACAATATGCCTCCGTCTCTTCAGAACAAGTTGCTGTGTAAAATTAATATTATTAATATGCAAAAAAAAATTCACAATTTCATATAATTAATATAAAATAGTATACTACCTCGAATTTCATTCAACAACCAACTTTGAGCACACATTAAAGCCTCCAATGTCTTTGGATGAAGTCGACTACGATGAGGACTTACTAATCTTCCACTTGTGCTGAAAGCTGATTCCGAGGCAACAGTGGAAACAGGAACAACTAATATATCTTTAGCTATCCTTTGTAGTGTCGGGTACTTAATCCCATTTGTTTTCCACCATGCCAACAAATCAAGTTCCATGTCTTTAGGCAACAATTTCTCCTTCAAGTAGTTATCCAACTCACTCATACCTCCTGATTCATCATCATCTCTAGTAATAGAAGCAATATCCGATAAGAGCTTTTTGAATCCAACACGATGACCAGAAGAGATACTAGAACCAAATGAAGATGAACCAGGAACTGAACCACCACAAACACGTAATGTTTAGTATAAAAATGTTAATAATTTAAGATAATGTTCTATTTATTATATAAACAATAAGAAGAATACAATACCTTCACTCTTCCTTTTTTTAGATGCATTACTTGACTCATACTCTTGAAACAAAGTTGTGACAAACCCCTCTAAAATTTGAAATTCAATCTTTGCCTTTTCTTCTCCATAAAGCACAGGCAAAAGTAACTCCACAAACTTTAACTTGTATCGTGGATCTAAAACTGCTGCCATTCCCATTATCCCATGAATTACAGACGAATACTTATTGAACTTAGAAAGCATTTGGTTAGCCATCACCTTAATCTCCTCAATAGGAGATTTCGTCCACTCACGCAAAGAATATCCAATCTCACATATCAAAGGAAAAAAAACATTAGCTGTAGGATACTTTGAACCAGAGAACATATCAGTCACCTCATAAAAAAGCTGTAATCTTTCACAAATCTCACTAGCCAACTCCCAATCCTGGTCTGTAGGAAAACATATATACTTGGGGTCTCTTGTCTTCACGCGATCGAAAGCCTCTTTGTAGCTTATAGCAACACTCAACATCAAGAATGTAGAGTTCCATCGTGTCTTGCAGTCAAGTATCAACTTCTTTGAGTATGGTATTCCCAACTGCTCTGCTGTTGTCACAAAATTTTGCTCCCTCTTTGGTGATGCAGACCAAAATGCAACACTCTCTCTGATTCTCTCAATCTCAAATTTAATGAGAGATAAGCCATCTTGGACAATAAGATTGAGAATATGTGCGCAGCAACGCATATGAAACAAATCACCATTCATCATTAGTGATTTTAGAGGAAGTTTCTCTAATAATATCCTAATAATTGCATCATTTGTGGTGCAATTATCCACAGTAAGAGTTGACACTTTCCTATCAAGATTCCAATCACACAAAGTAGCATAAAGTATGTCGGCAAGAACATCAGATGTATGCGGACAAGGCACGTAAATAAACCTGTTTAAAAATATATAAATATATATATATATATATATATGTTAATATTAACATATAAATAATAAGTACGTATAAATTGTAGTTAAATAAGTATAATATACCTCATAATTCTGCTTTGCAAGTTCCAGTTTTGATCTACAAAATGTGTTGTGATTGCCATAAACCCTTTTTTTTTTGATGATTAGATGTCCACATATCAGTAGTAACTGCAATTCTGCTTTTGTTCTTTGCTAACAAACTCATAGTTTTATCCCTTTCATAATCATAAATTCTTTTGATGTCCTCCTTGATGGTGTTTCGACAAGGAACCTTAAACAAAGGTTGAAGACCTCCCACAAACTTCCTAAATCCATGATGTTCTACAATTGAAAGCGGATACTCATGCAAAATAATCATTTCAGCCAAATCCTTCCTAGAAGTATCAGCATTAAATGTATAATTTGAAACATGCATTGTAGTACCATCTACTTTCTTTTTTTCTTGCACCAAGATAGATTGACGGATATCTGTAAAAGGTTTGTGTATACAATGCTTATGATGTGCAAGTAAATGTTTTGTGCCATTCTTGCTATCTGCACCCAACACTTTAGAGCAATATTTACATCTTGCTTTAACTTCACCATTCAAATTAAATTTTATAAAATGTTTCCATGTCGGTGAACGCGTTGCCCTTTTCGAACCAACAACTTCATCTCCATCTTCATCAAAAACTGTATCATTAATATTTGTCCCATCTTGTTGATCCACAGAATCGGTAATTTGTTGATTAGAACCCGAACCTCCCACATCTTGACTACTTGCAGTTGGAGCATGATTTTGATCGGTTGAGTTCATATTTCCTGAAAAATAACCAATGTCATATCATATTCAACAATTCTAATGTATCAAAAAGCCAAAGTTGACAACATCTTAGTCTTCATTAAAGGAATCCAAATCAATGTCTAATAATACAGCCGGATATCAAATAAAAATTTAATCTTAACAAAACTTAAATTCAATTAGAAGGTTAATAATAACATTGCTAAACGAGTCCCGGGTGTTTGTTTATCTTTATTATATCTATATTTGTAATATCATTCAAGTATCTAGACCAAAATTTTCATGGAAGCCAATAAATACTTTTATATTCTAATAGCAAAGATAGTTAGATACAAATTCATAGTTCAGACCCAAATGATGCAATCTAAGGAAATGAAATATCAATAAACATATTACATATACCATGTGTAGAGAAATCAGACTTGGTGAATAAGCTATTAAGCTGTGATCGAAATTAATACCTAAGATCAATAAGTTATTAAGCTATTAATACCTATGATCAATAAACATATTACAAATGGTGCAATCGAAATTAATACCACAAACAGATTTTAATGTTCATATGGATTTCAAGAATCGAAATTACAAGCTGTGATCGATTTCAAGAATTGAAATTTCAATGTTCATACCGAAATTACAAGCTGTGATCGATTTCCAGAATCGAAATTTCAATGTTCATGCCGAAATTACAAGCTGTGATCGATTTCAAGAATCAAAATTTCAATGGATTTCAAGAATCGAAATTACCTCTTGTACGTGGCGTCGATCGAAGTTGGAAGAGAAAGAAAGTCGATTTCTTCGTGAATCGTGTGGGTTGCGTATCCGTCTAACTGGTCGGAAGAGAAAGAACGTCGATTTCAATGGATTTCACTGCTTCCCTAGTCGTCGCGTGTTGCTGAGTCGATGCTTCGCTCTTCGCTGCTGAGTCGCTGCTTCGCTCTTCGCTGCTTCCCTTGTGGTATATCGCTGCTTCGCTCTTCGCTGCTTCCCTTGTGGTGTATCAATTTGTGGTGTATCGATTTTTGGGTGTGTCAGCTGGAGTAGAAGAATGATTGAACGAAGAGAAGTGTAAGGAGGGTACTGGAGTGGAAACGTGATTTTAGGGTTATGTGTTCAAGGGGCAGCAATGTAATTTCATATATATATATATATATATATATATATATATATATATATATATATATATATATATATATATATATATATATATATATATATATATTCGGGGCGGGTCGGGTCGGGGCGCGCATACCCACTCCCTGCCCCGAACCCGAATAAAATACCCAATAAAGACCCGTTACCCGACCCGAAACCCGATAAGAGCGACCCGACCCGACCCGAAATATTCGGGAATCGGGTTTCCCCGTCGGGTTCGGGTTTTTTTGCCATCCCTAATGGGTACATGTAAAGGTTCATCATTGGCCACCTGCAGTAGGGTTTCCGATCCCTATAAGTACATGGTCTTTTGAGCTTCCTCCATCAGAAGATCTCTTAATTCTCCCATATTAGGTACCCAAATCTTGTCTTGGAATACCTTCAATCCTTGACCGTTTGTAGCAAACATTAACATTTTGCGCAAACGTTCTTCCTTTCAGTCATTTTTCTCTGAAGCTTCCTCCTGAGCTTTCTTTATGCTTTCCACACTTGTCGAGACAACTTCAATTCTCAACGCTGACTTTTTCCTTTCAAGGTTTACCTTCCGACTGAGAGCATCAGCAACAACATTTGCTTTACCAGGGTGGTAAAGTAACTCGCAATCGTAGTCCTTGAGTAACTCTACCCAACGTTGTTGCCTCATGTTCAATTCCTTCTGATTAAAGAGGTACTAAAGACTCTTATAATTAGTGAAAAGTTTTCACTTTGTGCCATAAAGATAATGCCTCCGCATCTTTAGGGTAATACTACCGCTGCCAACTCCAGATCATTAGTGGGGTAGTTCTTTTCATGCTCTTTCAATTGTCGATATGCATATGCTATCACATTTTCTCTTTGAGTTAGAACACATCCCAACCCAACTCTAGATGCATCGCTATAAACTATGAAGTCTTACACTCCTTCAGGAAAAGAAAGAATTGGTGCTTCATATAATTTCTTCTTTAATTGCTCAAAGGCTTCCTTATGGTTTTCACTCCAAGTATAAGTTGCTCCTTTATGGGTCAAAGTTGTTAATGGAGCAGTTATCGAAGAAAATCATTGGATAAAGCTTCGATAATATCCAGCTAATCCTAAAAAGCTTCAGATTTCCGTAGGAGTCTTTGGTTGTTCCCACTTTGTTATAGCTTCAATCTTAACTGGGTCAACCATAATCCCTTCTTGGTTAACCACATGACCTAAAAATTGGGCTTCTTGAATCCAAAATCATATTTGGAGAACTTTGCATACAACTTCTCCTTCTTTAATACTTCTAACACTTCTCGCAAGTGTCTGCCATGCTCCTTTTGGCTTTTTGAGTAATCAGAATGTCATATATGAACACTATCACGGATTTATCGAGGAATGGTTTACAAACCATGTTCATCAAATCCATGAATGCTGCTGGAGCATTGGTTAGTCCAAATGACATAACCAAAAACTCGTAGTGTCTATATCTTCTTCTGAATGCATTCTTCTCAATATCATGCTCTCTCACCTTTAGCTGATGATATCCTGACCTAATATTGATCTTCGAGAAATAACTATAAGCTTGCAACTGATCAAACAGTTCATCAATCCTTGGCAACGGGTACTTGTTCTTCATTATTGCCTTATTCAGCTCTCTATAATTTATGCACATTCTCATTCTCGCATCTTTCTTCTTTACGAATAACACTAGAGCTCCCCACGGGGATGAATTGGGTTTAATGAAAGTATTTTCCAATAACTCCTGAAGTTGTGTCATAAGATCCTTCATCTCTGTCAGTGTTAATCAATATAGGGCTTTTGTTATTGGTGTTGTTCCTGGTAACAAGTCTATTCTTAACTCCACTTGTCTATGAGCGGTCAATCCAGGATGATTTTCAGGAAAGACTTTTGGATAGTCACACACCACTGGTATGCTGTGCATTTCCATCTTCTCCTTCTTGGCATCGATCACAAACGCTAAGTATGGTTTACATCCTTTAGACAAACATTTTCTAGCTTTTATTAGGGAAATGATTCTAGATTTCACTCTGCGCTTGTCTCCGTACACCATAAATGACTCTTTTCCAGTCGGGTTTACCCTTACTATCTTTTTCTTCCATAGTATGTCGGCATCATTGGCGATAAGCCAATCCATTCCTAGAACGATATCGAAACCATTCAACTCAATGGGTAACAACTTCTCTTGGAATTTGTTTCCGTTTAAATCGATGACAGTGTTCTTAATACAATTGCTAACAGGTATGAATATGGCATCCATAGCACACCCTTTTATTGGTTATTTAATTGTTGGCGTAGTGCCCTAGTTTTCCACTTTTAAAACAAGTGACTTCTCCGTCACATTTTCCATGGTTCTTCTTCTTGCATTTGTCACACCATTTGGTTTCACCACCTCCATAATTCTTCGTACCAAATTTTGAGAACTTGCTTTTCTTTCTAAAATTTGACGACCCATCAAATTTCCTTTTCTCACCAACCTCCGCTCTCTCCAGAACCTTCTCCCATATCTGGGTCTTCACATTTTTAGCAGCCCAGATGGCGAATTTAGATCAATACACCAAATAAGGTGAATTTAGATGTTGAACACTCCGAAACATTACATGCTAGTTCTAATATTGTAGTTATACGCTTAGAATCCTGAACACGTAAGGTTTCCAGATCCGGTCGGCAACAGACCATAGATCCGAACAACTAATGGCATACATGCAAACATATAACATTTAGCACATAAAAGCATTTTAGGCATCTTTCCTAAAATATATTAGTGCTCATGTCAAAAATATGATAGACACTCATCTCACAATCATCACCTACCATTCTAAGTTTAAGTCTAGAAATCCTACAAATTCCTAGTTCGCTTAAACTAATGCTCTGATACCAACTGTGACATCTGTCACACCCCAAAACCAAGAATGGCGGAAACGTTCTGGGGCGGAGGACGTCATGTAAGTATCACAACACAGTAAATGTAAATAAGCAAACAACATCATCCATTGCATTAAATATATAATTCTAATACAAGCGTGTTCTGTACATTATAGACACCAAAACTAACGCATATCAAAATAATAAGATGAGTCTTGAATGCGCTCCATCTTCTCAAAAGCTGGCCTCGGTACCTGTCTACCGATGACCTGAGAATACAAGTTATTTTGAAAGAGTTTATCAGCATTAAGCTGGTGAGTTCATAAGTATTTTAGTGTCGGTATTTGTCATCCAAAAATGTTTGAACATGTATAAAGTATAAGTTTGTAAAATGTATGTAAAGATTTGCAATTGTTCGTAAAAGTTTGAATCTCTCAGAAAAACCTATATTTTCTATTAAAGTAGCCTTCTACCAAGGCTTAACTGTTTTGTATGCTCGTTTGATGTAAAAATGTGTAATTTCCCAAATGTAACTATCATTTAACAAAATATAGTTTGTACATAAACGTTTAAGTGAGGTTATCACTAAAAATATGTAATGGGTAAATTATTGTAGTACTGTAGCCTTGTATTATAAGAGCTACTATTGTACTAACTACCTTAAACCGGATTTATATTAAGGCATTACGTGATAAATTGCACCATACTATTGACTAGTAACAACGACAAATGAATGGTCGTAATAACGGAATGACGTTTGGCACCCGCAGACCTGCAGGTCCGGCTGTAGCTAGCAGCAAGGTGTAGGATTGTCAATCCAGTATAGATCTATACGCAAACTCACGCTCTCCCTTCAAGAGAATTCTGGCTACAACTCGAGCCATGACAGTTAAGTCATGCTCCGATTTAAATCACAATAATAAAGTATTCATGTATATGTACTGTTTCTCGTTCTAGTATATGTATATGTATTGTTTCTAGCATCATTGTATATGTATTATTTCTAGTATATGTATATGTATTGTTTCTAG